TTTGATTTTGATTTTCATCACCGAAATGTTACTTTAAAGATCATATCTTGTAAGGTTCTTTAAAGAAACTATTGAAAGTTTGAATAAAGTTAGTTTCACATATGTACTTCATTTTGTGTTCTTGGTTGCATGCTAAAATTAACACTGCTTGGTGGTAATATGTGATTATTTATTTCAAAAATACTAAGAATGAAGCCTCGTAAAATCTAGGTAGGATTATCTCCCTTTGACTGTAGACTACTCGGGAAGATGAGGGTTAGAATTGGTCTTCAGCAGCCCATGCTTGTCTTGATAGGCGATTATCAGGATTGGTTGGTCAGGCTCCCTGACTTGCTAATTTATTTCCCAATTGCCAAATGCCACCCGTGCCCCCCCGACACCCCCAGAACAGGCCAATTTCTTGCGGCCATGTCCAACCTGCCTGCAGTTACTATGTTTTACGACGTTGGTACAAACAAACCATTTGAGGTTTCGAACATGGTCTAGGTTGGAAATGGGTTTAGAGCACTCTGATTCACTCTGGTACGCTCAATTTCGGAGCGGTGACGTCCTGCAAACGGTGACTATCTTTTGACTGAGTTGGTATAAGCAAACCCTATGTGGATTCGAACATGAGGATTCGAGGTCGAAGATAGGTTTAGAACAGCCTTTGACACCCGGCACATGCGAATGTCATAGCGGCAATGTCCGCAACCGCTGCCTACATTTGACGGAGTTGGTACAAGCAAACCGGTTTAGGATTTAAACATGGTCGAAGTCAGAAATGGGTTTAGAAAATAAAGGGTATACCCAAGAGCCATCAATTTCGTAGCGGCAATGTCCCGCAAGCGCTGCTTAAATTAGACGCGTTGGTACAAGCAAACCATATAAGGATTCAAACATGGTCGAGGTCGGAAATGAGTTAAGTAGCCCTCTGACACTCCGGCACACGCCAACTTCGTAGCGACAATGTTCTGCAAGCGGTGTCTGTCTTTTGATGGCGTTGGTACAAGCAAACCATTTGAGGATTCGAACATGGTCGTAGTTTGAAATTGGTTAAAACACCATGGGACACCCGTTTAGGTGATGTCTCACAAGTAGTTCCTTACATTTGACGGCGTTGGTACAACCAAACCATTTGAGGATTCGAACATGGTCGAAGTCATACGTGGGTTAAGAACTCACTGGGACACATGTGGTGATGTCTCACAAGCGGTTCCTTGTATTTGACGGCGTCGGTACAAGCAAACCATTTGAGGATTCGAACATGGTCGAAGTTGGAAATTGGTTGAAACACCATGGGACACCCAGGCACATGTCAATTTCGTTTAGGTGATGTCTCACAAGCAGTTCCTTACATTTGACGGCATTGGTACAACCAAACCATTTGAGGATTCGAACATGGTCGAAGTCAAACGTGGGTTAAGAACTCACTGGGACACATGTGCTGATGTCTCACAAGCGGTTCCTTGCATTTGATGGCGTTGGTACAAGCAAACCACGTGCAGATTCGAACATGTACGGCGTCTGAAATGGGTGTAGAACATCCTGGGACATTCTGGGGGCACGTCAATGTCGTAGAGGCGATGTCTCGCAAGCGTTTCCTTACTTTTGACGGCTTTGGTATAAGCAAACCATGTGCGGATTCGAACATGGACGTCGTGTGAAATGGGTGTAGAACATCCCGGGTCGTTCTTGGACACGTCAATGTCGTAGGGGCGATGTCTCCTAAGGGTTCCTTACTTTTGACTGCGTCGGTACAACCAAACCATTTGGGGATTCGAACATGGACGAGGTCGGAAACAGGGTCAGCACTTTATTTAAGCAATGCGACAGAAACCCGGGGTCCTGGCGAAGTCAGAACACTCATCCGTTTGACTGTAGCTCAATGGACAAGGGAGCTACGCTCCCGGACTATTTGACCCCCTACCACCCGGCCTGCCACCCTGCCTGTCACCCTGCCACAAGCTGCCGTTCAGCAGACCTCTGAATAGCAGACCTTTGAACACTTGTAACTCGGAAACTACTGGTCCGATTTTGACCAAATTACGTAGCGGCGTCTTTATTTGACAGCATTGGTACAAAGAATCCATTTAAGGATTCGAATATGAACAAGGGCCGGAATTGGTTCAGAACACCCAAGAATGCTCTGGCTCCCGCCAATTTTGTCAAAACGGACTGATGACATATGAAGTAATAAATTACACTATAGCATACTCATGTGCACTTCATTTATAAAGTGGTACAAATTGACTGGAACTAAATGATTTATTGGTATGAGGGGTGGTCGGGTAACCCTGTGGTTAGAGCGTTCGCTCGTCACGCTGAAAACCCGGGTTCGATTCCTGACATGGGTACAATGTGTGAAGCCCATTTCAGGTGTCCCCCGCCGTGATATTGCTGGAATATTGCTAAAAGCGGCGTAAAACCATACTCACTCACTCACTCACTATTTGCATGAGATGTATTTTGCCCCGTTGCTCTGAAACTGCTACTCCGATTACTTTCACACTCTACATGTGCCTGCTGCTTTAGGTGCTTGCCATTTTTTGTTCTTTAACTTTGGCCATTAGCCACGTGGTTTGGCAGCCATTTTGGATTCAGGGTTTTCACAGTGTGTTTTGGGTACACAGTTCTTCAAAAGCATACGACTTTGAATCCATCACATGAAATGCTACCAAACTTTCTGAGAATGTCTCCGTACATAACACATCAAACATTGATATACTTGATGGGATAGTTATTAGTTGCGGCCATATTTGATTTAGATTTTCATACCCCCTGGCGTACCATCAACTCATCAAAGGCCCAAATCAGCCGTAATCCTGTTGTTTATATTACTGGCTTCGTCCTTTGTTTCTGTCACTGACTTCACTGACGATTGTCATCACTACCCTTGTGTGTATATAACAGGCTTCTCTACTCCAGTATAACAATATTTACTCTACTGCATAAACATTGCCTCCTACTTGTATAGATACTTGTCAACCACACTTATAACTTGCTTGATAACGGTGATAGAACCTATACCGAAACGTCACCCTGCCCGCAGTTATATTTATTATTTTGTTATTATTCCTGCGTTTTTTGTTCCAATCATAACTCAAGAGTGAGTGAGTGAGTGAGTTGGGTTTTACGCCGCTTTTAACAGTATTCCAGTTATATCACGGCGTGTCAGCTTAATGTGGGAGGAAAGCCCGAAGTGATGCAGGTCTCAGACGTTTACCACTTCGGTGAAACCCACAAGCACGGGTATGGTGCTGACAAACCTAGAAACATAATCGGGGCGAACCGGGATTCGAACCCACAATCATAGGTTTCTGGCGTGCCCAAGGGACGCAACTCTGCACAGCGAATCGCGGCGCCTTAGACGCCCCTGCCCCCTGCCCCCCATAACTCAAGAACCAGCGCCCAGAATCTCTTAAAAATTTGCACCAAGATTCCCAATGTCCTGAAGCAGATACCCCAAAAATCCCAAGGCCATAGGCCCAACGACCAAGGGCAGATAACCAAAAAATAAGTAGCGGTGATGTCCTGCAAACGGTGGCCATCTGTTGACAGAATTGGTACAAGCAAACCCTTTGTAGATTCGAACATGATTCAAGGGTTTAGAACAGTCTTGGACACCCAGCACATGCAAATGTCATAGCCGCGATGTCTGCAACCAGTGGCTACATTTAATGGCGTTGGTACAAGCAAATCATTTGAAGATTCGAATGTGGTCGTAGTCAAACATGTGTTAGGAACTCACTGGGACACATGTGGTGATGTCTTGCCAGCAGTTCCTTACGTTTGACGGCATTGGTGCAAGCAAACCATTTTAGAATTCGAACTTGGTCGAAGTCAAAATTGGTTGAAACACCATGGGACACCCTTGCACATGTAAATTTCATAGTGGTGATGTCTCACAAGCGGTTCCTTACATTTGACGGCATTGGTACAAGCAAACCCTTTGAGGATTCGGACATGGTTTTAGTCCGAAATGGGTTTAGAAGATCTGGTACACAACGGAACCATCATGGTGATGTCCCGCAAGCGCTGCATACATTAGACAACGTTGGCACAAGCAAACCATGTAAGGGATTCAAACATGGTTGAGGTCGGAAATGAGTTAAGTAGCCCTGTGACACTCCGGCACACGCCAATTTCGTAGTGACAATGTTCTGCAAGCGGTGACTATCTTTTGACGGCAGTGGTACAAGCAAACCATGTGAGGATTTGAACATGGTCGAGGTCAGAAATGTGCTTGGAACACCCTTGGATACTCTGGAACATGCCAATGTCGTAGCATTGATATGCCACAACCAGTGCTAAATCTTTGACGGTGTTGGTACAAGAAAACCATTCGAGGATTGGAACATGGTCAAGGTCTGAAATGGGTTTAGAACACCCTGGGACACTCCTGCACATGCCATTTCAATAGCGGTGATATGCCGCAAGCGATGCCTTAATTTTTATGGTTTTGGTACAAGCCAACCATTTGAGGATTCGAATATGAACGAACACTGAAATGGGTTAGCAACACCCAAGGATGTCCCGGCACCCACCAATTTCGTCAAAACGGACCAGTGAAATATCAAATTATTAATTATATAATACTCATGTGCACTGTATCTATAAAGTGGATTCAAGTAGGCTGGAACTAAATGACTCGGTGCTTTTGGAAAACATAGAGCCCGACATCGCTGTTTGCAGCTATATTAATGGTTGTTTTTCTTTAAGCTTATATTGAAATCTTCATCTTTTATAGCTTATCAATAGCTTATCAGGCTTATGAGCATGTGCAGTGATATGACATGTATAACATTCTTGGAAATCAAGTGAAATAAGTATCCAACCTGTATCACCATGTTCATGCCTTGAACACCCTCAATTATTATTACTGAGAGTCAGTTGGACTTGAAAAATAGATGGACCCAGCTAAATCCTTGTATGTTACAAGTTTTATGGCATTCAGGATATAGTGGTGACAGGGATTTTCTATTTTTATATCTGTGTCATAAATTATCTGTTTGTTGCAGATTTCATTATGTGCCATTTATGGAGAGTATGGATGCAGTGACAGAATCACAAGGCACATCAACAGCTGGCTTTCCATAAGAAGATGAAGTTTAGAAAATACTCCTGTACTGCAGCAGGGGAGATGGACTCTCATCAAGCTGAATGATTACAAGATTAACCCTTTGTACTTAGTTCAAAAACATGTTATTCAAGACAAATATGTCCATATGTATTAGAATAGACTTGTACAGTTTTTATGTGTATATATACTGAACCGCAAAAGAAACGCGAGTACTGTGTGACTGTGAAATGTGGTATATTCACAAAACGACAGAGAGGTCAATTATGATAAGTCTGAGACAGTTCATGTTTTGCATGCACATTGACCACAGTCCATGGAACGTTCTTGCAAGTTCTTGCTTTGAGCCGATCACACACATGGAAATGGTGGTGTAGGAAATGTCAGTACCTCGTATGCCCTCCCTGGGTGTTCAACACAGCCATACACCTACGGTACATGGAGTGTAGCAGGCAGTTCACGAAGGCCATAGGCACCTGTGCCCACACCCTGACGAAAGCTGCCTCCAGATCAGCACGAGTTCTTGGTGTTGGTACCACCTGGTTCAGCCATCTCTGTATTTCATCCCACAGGTGCTCGATCGGGTTTAAATCCGGGCTCATAGCCGGCCATGGCATGGTTTGGATGTTGTGCTGGTGCAGGAAGTTCCTGGTGAGCCTGGCCGTGTGGGGACGCGCTTTTTCCTGCTGGAACACATGGTTCTGGTGACGTGCGAAGTAGGGAACGATGTAAGGTCTCAGGATCTGGTCAATGTAGCGTTGCGCTGTGATGCCATTCCCCCTGCCAGCGCCAATATTGTGAAACACATGAGGGCCAATTCTCTGGTTCAGGCCTATAGCACCCCAAACAATGGTGCTCTGACCACCCCACGGGTCTCTTTCCACGACACAGTGGTCCCTATAGCGTTTACCCCTCCTTCACCACACCCTCACACCCATCAGACGTGGATCCACAATACCGGCTCTCGTCAGAGAAGACAATTGTCCTCCATTGTTGATGCTGCCAATGTCAGTGTTGTGTAGCCCATTGCAGCCGTGCCTGGCGGTGGCGGGCGGTGAGGATGGGCACTCGAGCGGGCCCGACGGCAATACAGGTTGTTGGTAGTCAGCCGACGTTGTACCGTATCGTCACTGATCGGTCGCCCTCTAGTGCCAATGGAGTTTCGAGCTGTCACACTGGCTGGTCTGAAGCGATCCCGTTGGTGTTGGCGGTGGATGAACCGATCCTGCCTGGGCGTGGTCACTCGGGGGCGTCCACGTCGGGGGCGGTCTGCAGTACTGTTTGTGATGTTGTAGCGCTGCTGCAGACGGTGGATGGTGCTGAAGTGAACATTGAAAGTGTTGGCCACAACCTGGGACCGTTGTCCAGCTTGTAATCGACCGATCGCTTGTTCTCTCTGTTGTGTGGATAATCGAGGCTTCAAAATTACGAGTGCCAGAAAGGCAGTTCAAGTTGATTTTTATACCCATAGCCTCCATGAGTTACACGTGCATGTTGGTGTCCACGGCAAAGCATGGTAACTGTCACCCACGACCTTGGACAAGGCTGCGTTGTGGCGACTAATTTCAGGCCTCGTTGTACCGTTTGATGGAATGTTTGTCTCACAAACACATCAGGATGTCGAAGAATATTCACACCTACAGTCTTGACATATATTTTCTGCATTTTACCATATAAAATTTATATTTTACAATCTCGCGTTTCTTTTGCGGTTCAGTATATATGATATAAATCTTTTCATAGTTGACATGTATCTCTGAAACTGCAAGGCAAGGTATATTAAGGTTTAAGATTTGCATGGATCATCCATGTAATGGTGCCACTTACATGTGATTTCAAAATTAATGATTTTAACTAGTGCTGCCATGACAGCAATTAAGTCAATGAGTGTGTATGTCAATGTACAGTTAGTATGTCTTTGACTTCGCCTAAACCTAGTATATATAATTATATGTTTGCCATTTTTCAACTCAAATTAAGTTTAATGTGCATTCATGTATTTACATGAATTGAATAATTATGTGTGATAATTGCTGATAATCTTGTGATAATAGTAGTAGGTGATGGTGACCTATTTATAATAAGTATCATATGCTGTATTTTTGTTGTTACTTTGAATTCGACCAAGGGCTGTCATATTTGGTTTATTTACGACATATGTCCCTTCAAATAATTGCCTCTAATATTCAAGGTCAGATGTACTCTCAAGGTCATACACTCAAAAGTAACATTCATGATAATTCAAGGAGCCTTCCCGGTAGTCTTTTTTTTTTGTAGACTTGGGCACTGAAGTGGCAATTTAAGGTTCTGGATGATCTTCAATGAGCTGGCACCCATGTTTCCAATTAGGAAACAATACAAAAAGTGAGTAGGGCTCACTCATACCCCCGACTTCAACATGTTTCTGAGTTCAAAACATGAAAAAAGTAATATTTACTCAGAAAATCCACTTATTGAAACCAAACTTTGCACTGCACCTCTCCTATTGTGGAATAGAAACTGTACCCCCAATTGAAGACGAATCCATGAAGCATGTTTTAAGTTTTAGATTGCACAAATCTGAGGTAACAAAAAAATCAAAATAATTGAGTTCAAAACAGGTAGAACAGAAATTATACGTATCAAAATGAAACTTGTCACTGCACCTCTTCTATTAGTAGGGAAACTGTTCCATAAATTTAAAAATAATCCACAAAGTAGTTTCCTAGTGATAGATTGCACAAATGTTTAAGTACTTTGCACTGCACCTCTCTTACATGTATAAGAAGTGTTCACCAAGTTTGAAAAGAATCTATGTGCTAGTTTTCAAGTTAAAGGTCACACAAAAAATGTCCTTGGAAGGAATGGCAGAAGAACAAACGGATAGAATTCCTTGGAATATGTATACCCCCACCCTTTTTAGTGGCCCATTCTGGATCAAAATCAAGTCATTGTACTTTACTAAGAGACTTGAGTCAAACTAAGACATTGTCTGATTGTAATTAGGTTTTAAGACTACTACCTTTGACATAACAAATGTTGTATTTGGGATAAAACTTTCTTAGTAAAGTACAGATGTTCGTACTGTTTGGGTTGAGTGCCATCTGGGATTCGAACCCACACTGCCAGAGTGAGGCACCTAATCACCAGCACACAAAGTCAGCGATCGAACGCACTCAGGCACTGTAGCTTCCAGAAATATGAAAGTCTGACGACCAGTAGTCCAGACGGCATACTAAGTGTACCCCTCTGACAAGTGTAAATTGGCATGGCTCCCATGGCCTAAAGCCCTGAACACACTATGCCATTTAGAAAGTGGTAAAATGTAACAAATGTTATATTTGTGATAACACTTTCTTACTAAAGTACAGATTCTCATACTTTTTGGGTTGGGTCGCAGCCGGGAATCGAACCAAAACTGCTAGCGCTAGGCAACCTAATCGCCACCACACAAAGTTTAGAAGTACATGAATCCAAGCCAAAGAGGTGTTCCAAAATAGGTGACGTCACTCAAGTGCAGCAGAAGGTTACTGATGAGGTAATGGAGGTTCCACTTTTATTGAGGATATTTAATCTTTCGAAATGTAGCTGAATTCTATTGTTGAAGACATTACCTCCTGGTATGAAGCAGAATTTGAGGTTTTGATTCATTCATCCCACAAGAAATCAGCACCGTATTCTCAACTGTTTGAAAATAGTGTACGCAAGGATAGATGACATATTTTTTTAATACATCATTTTGTGATGAATATCTTATCAAGTTTGAAAACAGCTATCAATAATTAACATTTTACAAAGTTATGGCCCTGGTTTAGTTGTGCTTTTGTGTTTGCTCAAATGAGGATATTGTTTATTTCAAGAGGATAACTTATGAACTGTTTGATATATATTTGTGAAACTTTGTATACACATCAGGTGTTGTACTGGACCTTTAGATGCTGATTGTAATGTAGTTCTTGCTACTGCATGATGGACCTGCTCCTTTCTCTCTCCAAGTGACCCGTTGCACTGTCCATTGAGAAATAAATCTCTTTTAAAGAAAAAGCTTTGTCAGTTCCTACTGATCTCATTAAGTTTTTCAGACTTTCGTTATTACTGTGTATAAGTCATAATTTTACAGGAAATACAGCTTTGTTGAAGGTGGTGCACATTATGCATACAGACATTGAGTTTGGACTTTTTTATTAAAGTGAATACATTACAGCTGGCATGGTAACGCTGGAGATGGCATTGCAATGTTATTTGAATGTTTCATATTAGATGGTGAATAGTGTAGCATATTTCACCAACTTAAGGTTGCTACCCAGCTGAAATGAGCATGGAATGATCATGGTATACCATGTGTGGGAATTGGTGCCATGGAATACAGTTGCAAAATGAGACATGGTTAATGAGACCTTGGTATACCAGTAATCCAAACTGCTTCCATGGAGTTCTTATGATATAACGATTTTGTCATTAAATTTCATAGGCCAGCCATATGAAATTGGGTACAACTCCACGTGACCTGCATGGTCACTTGGCATAGTATCTATATATAGGTCATGTTTAAAGAGTAAAATGGAACTGGTGAATCTGCTCTATGCTAATGAAAGTCATAACTAACATAATTTCTATTCGAATGTCACATTGTTAAGCAACTTTGCGAAGTGAGTTAACAAATATCAAAGCAGGTCAGTTTTCAATTTTTGTTTGACATGTTTAGTTTTGAGACCGATTTTGAACCTCATCTTGTTCGCTTGCCCGGGTGAACTTTATATACCCCAGGATCCATCATCACCCGACCTTTTGATAGGTATGTTATATTATTTAGTATATTTGGACATAAAATCATGATGTGTTTGAAACAATCATGATATGACCTTGTGAAATTTTGAGGGTAAATAAATCACAATATCTTTAGATTTTCAACAGATGTCCATAATTAATTCTTAGGTAGATGTTTTCCTGTGCCTTGTGCTTCTGTGCATGCGAAAGCTGGGATAACCTCACTTCTTTCCTGAGTGCACTAGTGTCAACCAGATCCCATCAGGACTAGGCAACAGGACATACAAGGAAGCGACCGACATTCACTACCTAGCTACTGTCACCCACATAAGAGCAAACAGTAACATTAGTCCCTGTCAGACAAGAATACCCTATGCCCAAGGTTATGACATGTTTCAGAAGATGTCACAGTTCACCGTTCATAAAAAAACAGGCAAAGATGGAAATCTCTTCAGAGAATTACGTTAGCCCAGAGACAACAACGCTGCATCGGATCATGAATCAGAACTAGGGATTGAAAGTACTGGGGAAGCTGCGTTGTCTCGTCTTAACAGTTTTCAACCAGAATATACATTCACAGAACTGATAGAACAACTGTACCACTTCTAGCCCCACTTACAACCCCACTTACAACCCAAGGTTAACAAAGAGCCTTCACTTCCGGTTTGGCAATGGCGGCGTGAGGACGCAATCGGCGGGGGCTCTAGTCAAAATCCGACATTATCGAAAACATCATGGCCTCTAAGGGCAAATCAAAGAAGGGATCACCAAAAACTAAGAGTGAAGAATCTGTTGGGGGCACTATTGGCCAGTATTTACAGTCAGCAATTCCGGAGGGCCAAGAAACTGTTTCGATGCCAGATTCCGCTCCATCATTGCACATACCACGTGTAGATAACGAATGGAAGGATTTCATTCGAAGTGAACTGAAACTCGCTACGGATAAAATATGCTGTAGAATTGATACAGTCACGGCGGAATTATCTGAATTATCGAAAAGAGTTGATGGTGTGGAGTCGGCAACAGATTTTCAGTCAAAACGCATTGATGACTTCGCAAAACAAATCGACTCGACGGAAGTTAGTATGAAAGACCAAATCAACATGCTGAAAAAGAAACTTTTAGAAGCAGAAATGTACTCGAGAAAATCTAATCTTCTAGTCTACGGAGTGCCAAATACAATCACTACACTAGATTCGCATTGTCGGGGGATATTCAAAGACAAACTAGACTTGGATGAACAGACTGTAGAAAACATGATGTTTGTGAACATACATCGTCTACCGAGATTCCACGAAAGTGACAAACCAAATCCAATCATTATCAAGTTTGTTCTTATGCAGGATAGGGAAGCTATTATGAAGGCTACTTTCGCCAGAGGAAAACGCCTATCAGAGGCTGGCCTTTCGATCAGAACGGATCTGCCGTTAGAATTGAAGAAACTGCGAGGAAGATTACTTCAAAAATCAGCTATCATTCGTAAAAACAACAATCTACAGACTCGTGTTCGCGAGAAGGGGACGGATGTTATTCTTTACTACAGAAAAGATATCGGGTCAGATTGGAAAACTCTAGGGGAAGATCAGGATCCTGTTCTCATATGAACGTTAACACAACATGCCTGCCTAATGAATATTAATCTATTGGACTTTTTGGATTCTAAGAATATTCAGTGATTGCGAAAATGGTGAAATGTGTTATTTTATTTGACCTACATTCCACTCGATCAAAAGATTCTTTTACATCTATTTTCACATAGTATGGATGGTTCGTTTGGATTATGCCTTGTGTTTTATTCAAGGACAATTCGGGGAATTCTTATATTATTGGGTAAGTGCGCAAATAATGCCTTTATTGTAACTACTTTATGATCTACCCATGTTTATCGACAGACCGCGAGAAACTTTAGCAATATCATATCACGTGACACGTCACGTGCTTCAAAATGGCAGACATCTGTATATTTCCTCGTGTTTACATGTTAGGACTCGGATTCCGGGATCTGACGACTAAGTGCATCTCTGAAAGATGTTAAAATTCTGCCAAAGGATATGTGGATATATTGAATCTACCCATGTTTATCGACAGACCGAGAGAAACTTTAGCAATATCATATCACGTGACGCATCATGTGCTTCAAAATGGCGGACATCTGTTTATTTCCTCGTGTTTACATGTTAGGACTCAGATTCCATGACCTGACGACTAATTGCATCTCTGTAAGATGTTAAAAGGATATGTGGATATATTGAATACATTTCACCACCAAGACTAAATGTTAAAGAATCCACTGATCAGCTGCTGATTCTCTTTTATTTTTCATTGATTGGAAACTGTTGACACCAGGCGAGTTTGTCGAATATCGCTGGTTTTTTTGTTTGTTTCCTGTGATGAAGATTTTATCACCCTCTTCATGCACAATAAGCACATGTTTAAAGACTGAAACAGTGCCCCCAGAAAGTGAGGGGAATTTGCCTACCTGAAGTATACAACTGTGTGCAAGGCTATTTGCAAAGAACTTTTTTTTCAACCCTTTTTTTTATTTTTTATTTTTATGTTGTTTGTGTGTGTCAGAAATTTTAGTGAAATACTCTCACTGGTCCTGATGATATGGAAATTACTGTTTCCCTTCAATAATGGCTAGTATTGGTTTTAGTTGCTGTTCTGTTAATTGTAGAGGACTACAGGATACTGAGAAAAGAAAAGATGTCTTCAATTTTTTAAGATCAAAATTATACTCACTGTGTCTTTTACAAGATACACATTTTTCCAAAGAGCAAGAACCCATTATAAGAGCACAATGGGGTTATGACTGTATTTTTAACTCTAAAAATAGTCAATCTAGAGGAGTGGCAATTTTATTCAATAGAAAAGTGGATTATAAAATACATAATTCTCATACTGATGACAATGGGAATTTGCTTATTTTGGATATTACAATTTGTGATAGACGTTTAACATTAGTGAATATGTATGGCCCAAATACAGATTCTCCTGATTTCTTTGAGCATGTTAAAGTCATGGCTAAGAATATTGGTAATGGGGACTATATTTTCTCAGCTGACTGGAACCTAATCTTAAATAGCACTATTGATGTAGATAATTATGTTAACATCAATAATCCTAAATCTAGAGAAAAGGTTTTAGAACTTATTGGAGACTTAAATTTAGTAGATGTCTGGCGAGATTTCAACCCTGACTGTAAGAAATTTACTTGGCGCAAAAAGTCTCCACTAAAGCAAGCAAGATTGGATTTTTTTTTTATCTCTGAAACTTTATACCCTTTTATAACAAATGCTAGGATTAAACCAGGATATAGAACTGATCACTCTATTATTGATATTGATATTTCATTCAAAGATACAAAAAAACGTTCTACTTATTGGAAATTTAATACATGGTTACTGACGGACAAAAACTATGTAAAGGAAGTCAAAGAAACTATTTTGAAAATAAAAACTCAATATGCTTTGGACTATCAAGGTGATATTGTTGATATAGAAAACCACTTACTTCATTAATGATCAATTATTTTTTGAAACAATATTAATGGAATTGAGAGGTAAAACGATTTCCTATTCAACTTTCAAGAAAAAGGAAAGAATTAAAAAAGAAAAGAATTTATTAGATGAAATTGAATCTATTGAGAACTCTCCCACTATTACCTATGAATTGTTAGAGGAAAAAAGAAATGAGTTAGAAGATATAAGGAAACATAAAATGGCAGGTATAGCTATTAGATCTAGAACTAAATGGATAATGGAAGGTGAAAAAATAAGTAGTTATTTTTGTAATTTGGAAAAAAGGAATTTTGTAAGCAAATCAATGACTAATCTGGAACTAAAAAATGGCTCTACTATTACGGATAGTACTGAAATAATTACGGAAGCTGCAAACTTTTATGAAAATTTATATAGTAGCAGAGAAGATTGCATACATGATGTTGATCTAGACTCCATTCTTGACAAAAATACTTTACCAATTTTAGACAAATCGGCTAATAAAGATTTGGAGAATATGATTACTTTAGAAGAATTAGCTATAGCATTAAAAAACATGCCAAATCAAAAAAGCCCAAGTTCAGATGGATTTCCTTCAGAATTCTACAAGTTCTTTTGGAAAGATATAGGACAATTTTTATTGAGATCTCTAAATTATGGCTTAAAGACAGGAGAATTGTCAGTTACCCAAAAACAGGGGGTCGTTGTTTGTATCCCAAAGGGTGACAAGCCAAAACATTTTTTGACAAATTGGAGACCTATTTCATTACTTAATGT